TACATAGGATATGAACAAATATACATGCATTAAGAAGTCTGGAAAGCTCTATGTCAAATAGCAGGTGTTATTCCATGGGGTTGGGATTATGGGCAGAATTTTTCTGTGTAATTTGAACTTTTACATTTATTAAAATTATTTCTTTAGTGGGGGAAGATTTTTTTTTGTTAAGGAGTTCTTTTTCTACATTTTTTATCCTGTTAAACCACATTTACTCCCAAGAGTCTATATTACTGTAATGTGATCTGATTTGTGGATGGTCGCATATTAGAGATTATTTATATGATACTATATGACAGGCATAATTATAAGCCCTAGGGATAAAATGTAGGCAAAGTCTCCCATTACTGGCTCTTGGCAGAAATATAAATAAAAGAACACTTAGAATATACGGTGATAGATACAAGTATTTTTGAGGAACTTTAGAGGAGGGAATGATTAAGTTGGAGTGGATCACCCAAGACTTTTAAGAGTTTATAGGTGACATTTTAAAGAGTTTTTCTTGTGGAAGAATTGAAGATAGTCATTGTGGGCAGAGGAAATGGCATGTACGAAGAATCAGAAGTGTGAAAAGTCAAATGGTAAGAAATAAGTACATCAATATTTCTGAAACCAAAAGATTTGAGGATAAAATAGTATTAGGAGCCATGGTAAAATAACAAATCTGTGCATTCATTTCTTAGTTCTTTTGTTCATTCTCAGAGTTTCTTGTTGCAGAAAGAAAATATTATGTAACTTTTAGTAGAACTGATCCATTATTGTAGAAATTAAACAGCAGATAGATACATAAAAGTGTAAGTTGTGATAATGCCTGGGCTTGGTGAGAATATAGATATGTGAATTGTTAGCACTACCTTGGAAACGTAGGTATATCCTGTAGGTATATCTTGTAATCCACCATTTCTATTCCTGGATATTTACCAGAAAACCCTCTTGTACATATATACCATAAGGTCTGTAAAAGAATGTTCTTAGCAACATTGTTTGAAATAGGCCAAAAAATAAAAATAAAAAAAAATAACTGGGGGGAGAGGGCCCATTTCTATGGATTTGTGTAAATTGTATTTCTTAGGAAGGTGTTTCTCAGACAATACTGATTTTCTTCCCTTCCACTCTCCAGTATGTGCAGGATTCCCCAAGAGAGCTTTGGTAATTGGAAATCTTAGAAGGGTTGAGCAGAAAAACAAATAGATTTGCATGAATAGCCTTCCCCAAGTCTGGAAACAAGGAGATCAGTTAAAAGCATACTGAAATAAGATAGGCAAAAAAGATAATGAGAGAAAATGGATTTGAAAGATACGCAGAAGGTGAACTTGTTTAGAAAATAATTTTTTTTAATCGAAAGAAAGATATCTTGCATGAATCTAGGAGGGTTTGGGGCAAGGGCTGAAGAATGTCTTAGTTCATCATTTCACATACAGAGTGGGAGGGGGAATGTATTTAAGCCAAAAAGCATATGACTAATTCCCTAGTTGATTTACTTGAGTATTTTAATAGAATATATTTATATTTCAAAATACTACAATTCGGTATCACAAACAGGGGAAAAAGTATATACCTAGATTTTAAGAGAAATTGTGGCCAACATAAAAGTAAAGCTCTAGAAAAATTGGAAAATTACTCATAATCAAACCATCAAGGATAGGTGTTAACATTCCTTTTATATCATTTCAATCTTTTATTTTTTTATGGTTATGATAATACTGTAAATAAAATTTTGTATACTGATTTTTTAACACTAAATGTTTCCCCATATAGTGGATATTAGTCATAAGCCTAATTTCAAATGAACACTCAATATTCCATTAAATGGAGATACCATAATTTATGTAACCAACCCCATATTTTGGGACATTAGGGTTATTTCTTCATTTTTACTATTAAAAGTAATTCTGTTGAATCACATACCTGTACCTCTGAAACAAATAATACATTATATGTTAAAAAAAAAAATAGGAAGGGAAAAATGAAGGGGGGGAAATTGGAGGGGGAGATGAACCATGACGAGACTATGGACTCTGAGAAACAAACTGAGGGTTCTAGAGGGGAGGGTGGTGGGGTGCTGGGTTAGCCTGGTGATGGGTATTAAAGAGGGCACGTACTGAATGGAGCACTGGGTGTTAAACGCAAACAATGAATCATGGAACACTATATCAAAAAAAAAAAAGTAATTCTGAGAAAAATAATTTTGCCTAAAGCTTCTTCCATTTAGTACTTTTTTTTTCTTTGCAAGATTCAAGACTTTGTCAAAATGTTTTAAAAACTTTTGATACATTCTACTGAAATCATTTTTCACAAATGGTTGTTCCACATTTTACTTGTATATGTAGAATTAGCAATGACTAAGAATGGCCATTTTACTTATTACTGCTTTTTTTTAAAACTTTTTCAGTATACATCTAAATTTATAACTTGCTGAAAGAGATATAATTAAGTAGTAGGAAAATACTCTCCCAGTTTGAGATTCTGTAAAAATGTTAGTTTCTCACAGTTCAAGGATAATGGGCCTTATTGTAGATTGTAGTCTGTACAATACATTGAGGGAGGGAGTTGTTTGTTTTTACCATATGAGACACCTGAAAGACGTTTTCCTTATTTTATTATCTGAGACCCATTTAGGTGTGTAGTTAAAAATTAACTGTGTGATGTGAACTGTAGTTATTAGGTAAATTCTAGCTGTTTTGGCAAACATTTTTAAGTAGAACTAAATTATTTGTTACCCAAACAATAAACACATTTTTATTTATTTAATAATGAAATAACACTCTTGATAGTTCCCTTTATTTTTTTTATTTTTATTTTTTTTAAGATTTTATTTATTTATTTGACAGAGAGAGAGAGCACGAGAGCAGGAACACAAGCAGGGGGAGTGGAAGAGGGAGAAGCAGGCTTCCCGCCGAGCAGGGAGCCCGAAACACATTTTTATTTATTTAATAATGAAATAACACTCTTGATAGTTCCCTTTATTTTTTTTATTTTTATTTTTTTTAAGATTTTATTTATTTATTTGACAGAGAGAGAGAGCACGAGAGCAGGAACACAAGCAGGGGGAGTGGAAGAGGGAGAAGCAGGCTTCCCGCCGAGCAGGGAGCCCGATATGGGACTCGATCCCAGGACCCTGGGATCATGACCTGAGCCGAAGGCAGACGCTTAACGACTGAGCCACCCAGGCACCCTTGATAGTTCCCTTTAAAAAATAAATGTATTCTTAATCAAAATGAAATGTGTTTTTGCTTAATGTACAGAATATAAGTAGAATTAACCCAAGTCAGTAGAGTAAAATACTTATGTTATATAACAAGTTTATGTTTGTTCAGATATGGACTTTTCAGTAGGCTTTATTTTACAAATCTTAAATGACTCCTCAGTTAGATTGGAATTCAGTAAAATCAACCTGATCCAAATAGTTGTCACCATTATAAGTATAATTACTTTGTAATTACTACTGATATTACTACTACTACTACTACTATAGTAATTCATGCCTGTTTACAGATTTTAATCTCTTGAGTATCCCAACTAACCCCAAAGTTATTAGTACAAATATACCCAATTTATAATAAAACCATAATTTAGAGAAGTTAATTGCTTGAATTGCTTAAATTCTGTACCTTAGTTGGATGAGACAATTTTCTAACTTAGGCCCTTTCTCTAAACCTCCCCCCCCAAGCCCCCATGTTTTTTTCTATTCAGCTTGCTTATGATTTTTACAGTTACTTGAATCATTTATTTTCAAAATTGTCTCGAATATGTTAATATATTTCTTGAAATTTGTTACTCCTTCCAATTTTCAGCATGCATTTTGAAAGAATGTTTGCTGGTTACTAGTATTTAACCAACTTCCTTCTAGTAATTAATTTAGCATTAACTATCATAACTCATTGGGACAACTGTAATGAAAACCAGCTAAAAAGAACAATTAACTGGGTTTGACATTTAGTTTTAAGTGATAGTGCATTCTCAAATATATTTTTAAAAGTTTAATTGCTTTTAGTTTTCATGGCATTTTCACATATATTATCATCTCACTAAATCCTTAAGAAAATCCATGTGATAAAATAGCATAGGAATTATAAAAGTATTTGGTAATTGAAAAAACCAATTCCACAGAAATTAAATGTCACAAGGCTACTTTGTTCCAGAGCAAGGACTAGAATGTGCATTTATAAACTAAAATATGTTAGCTATTTTATGAATCTTATGCTTTAATTTTAGAGCACCAAATTTTTAATTGTTTTATTTTTTTAAAAAGCTCATAAAGGTTTACACCTTTAAGATTATTAGCCCTGTAGTGATTACTCCAAATTATTTTAGGTTAAGCCAGTGAAAGTATTTCTGTCATTTTTATTTGGCTTTCACAATCTCTTCAAATAATTATACAGTAACAGGAAAAGTAATGGCAAATAATTATCTCATTGCTTTAAACAAATTATTGTTTATGAAATTTCAAAAATATGTCATTAGGGCCTGTCTTTGAGCATATCCCTTACCTAAGTCTCATGTGCATGAGCTGAATCAGCATAGTCAGGCTAATTAATTCTTTATTCATTCAGTAAGGTCATGGACTGCTTGCTGTTTTCTTTTGATCCCCTGTATCATATAACACAGCACAGTCCTTGGTACATACTTTTTTAACTTGCAAGATAACACTTAAATTGATTTGTGTATCTCTGTGATAATTTCTTCATTTTCTATGTATGTTGCTTCTCGTTAAAATTTAAAACTTCATTTTAATTAGATTATCTCTCTAACATGGCATGGTTAGGCTTCTAATTCTTCCTAAGTCGTTTGCTATAAGGAAGCCCATAAAGTTGATTTATTATTAATATTATTGTTATTTTATTTTGACCTGGCTCCCTAATCATGATTGTTTGAGTTTGGGGAATTGCCATTTATAGTGATCGTAGTGGTACATAATGATTTGCTAAATACTTGCTGGAGTGAAAGTATCTTTTTTTTGTTTCTGGCAACTAATGAATTTTGGGGATTATTCCCATTAGGCAACTGAAGAGGACAGTTCCAGTTCTCTAGTGAAAGATCATCTCCAGCAAGAGACAGTTGTTACCAGTGAGCCATACAGAAGCTCAAGACCTTCTGCCTTTGAAGATCTGAATGCCAGAAGAGTTTACTTGCAGAGCCAAGCCAATCAGGTGAGAAGATTAAATATTTTTCAGTGTGTTATTCATATGTGTAGAAATTGGATGTATTAGAGAAGGACATTAAGACCATCTGCCTTTATCAGACAAACAACAGAAATCTAGGGGAATGTGATTTAATTGAACCATAAATTTGACTTTACATTTTTTGATTACAAAGATGAAAGGGAAAGTGTGTTATGCTTTCATTATCTGGGAGGATCTGGGAGGAAGAACCATTTCAGTCTGTTAGGAACCAGAAGTTTCTCTAGCTTTACTCTACATGAAACTTCTCAGATGACAGATATTATGAAAAATATCTTGAGCAAACATATCTGTGGCAAATACACTGATAAATTTCATAGAGTTGTTTCTTGTAGCTTAACCTCAGATACTAATAATGTATTCCTAAATCAACTCAGTGAAAGTGTTTCCTTTGGGTAGTCAGTATACAACTCTAATTTTTCCAGCTTGATCTAAAAATGAAACCTTAATTATAGACTATAACCCTGTTTTTATGTCACTCACAAATGTTATCAAATCTGTCAGAAGACCATTCATGACCCCATTTCTCTTAGTGATAGAAACAAATGCCTTCATTGTTAAATAAGCATTTGAACCGTTTCGCTATGAACTCATGTGGTTTAAACCATACCCAGTGTATGTCTACAAAATCAGAAACCCATCAAAGTGGTTTTTTAAAAAATGTTTTAAAATACTCTTCTTGATAGACGATATTTATAAGATGTATTAGTGTCCAGTGGCCTAGTGGCTATGACTAAAGCCCACCTGATTCTCATTTCATGATTCTCATTTTAACCTGAGGATCCCAAACATGCAGCTTGTTAGGGAAGAAGTTTGCTTTGCATTTGCTCTTCCATCTATCTGGAACACTTTTCCCCTAGATCTTCACAAAGTTTGCTCCTCCCTTCAGGTCACCTCTTCCGTGAAGCCTTCCCTGGGCACTCTAAATAAAATAGCAACTTTTCTGTCACTGTATCCTTACTCTGCTTTATTTTTCTTCATAACATTTACCATTTCCTAGCTTTATGTATTTAATTTTTCTCTTTGTACTGTTTGTTTGTTCCCTGATGTCTTGAGAAACCTAGAAGTTTCTGAATAAAGTGAGCCTCTAGTTAACATTTGTTGAATGAGAGAATGAATAAATGCTAACAGCATCAGCTTGGAAGCAAATGATGTTTTGACTCAGTTTATTCCTGTTCTTATCATTCAATATTGGGAACTTGATTAATTTAGGATAACTTGGGGACTTTATTTTATTATTTTTTTAAATTGACATATAATATTTGTTTCAGGGGTACAAATCTGTGATTTATCAGTCCTATATAATACCTAGTGCTCATTACAACACTTACCCTCTGCAATGTCCATCACCCAGTTACCCCATCCCTCCACCTCTCTCCTCTCCAGCAACCCTCAGTTTGTTTCCTATGATGAAGAGTCTTTTACAGTTTGTCTCCCTCTCTGGTTTCGTCTTGTTTCATTTTTTTCCCTCTCTTCCCCTATGATCCTCTGCCTTGTTTCTTAAATTCCATATATCAGTGAGATATGATAATTGTCTTTCCCTGACTGATTTATTTCACTTAGCATATTACCCTCTAGTTCATCCACGTCATTGCAAATGGCAAGATTTCATATTTTTTTATGGCTGTGTAATATTCCATTGTATATATATACTGGGGAGGGGGGCTTGATTTTAATGACTCAGTGGCATTCCTTAGAATTCATTTTAAGAATAAATAGAGCTAGGGGCGCCTGGGTGGCTCAGTTGGTTGGGCCTCTGCCTTCGGCTTGGTTGTGATCCCCGGGTCCTGGGATCGAGCCCCACATCGGGCTCTCTGCTCAGTGGAGAGCCTGCTTCTCCCTTCGCCTCTCTCTGTTGTTCTGCCTACTTGTGCTCTCTCTCTGTCAAATGAATAAATAAAATCTTAAAAAAAAAAGAATAAATAGAGCTAGGATTTTGAGGTGCTAGGCATTAAGTAGCTTCTCTCTTTCTCCACTCCCACTGTTCTCCTCTATCTTGTTCATACAAACTCAGTATGACCATTTATCTCTGTCTTTCTTTACATATCCATTTCATTCTTTTTCTCTGTGGCCTAGGTTCTTTGTTGCCTCATTGATTAGTAGTGTATTATGACTATCAGAATGTCAGGCTCAGCCCTTTAGTCTACGTGACATTCCAGCCTAGATCGTTACTGTCCCAAACCAGTTCCATACTCTTATAAGAAGGAAGCTGATTGGCTCAGCGTAGGGCAAGTTTATTTATATATTCTACATAGCTCTCCATTCCAAGGTTACAGGATGAGCCGATTAGGAAGAGAAGAGATAAAATGATGTACACTCTATCCAACATTGCCACTTTTGGGCAGAGCTCCAGTTCTAGGCTATCTTAAAAGTTTATGGCTTGCCTTTGTGTTAAGTGCCAGATCCTGGTTTAATCATAATTATGGCTGATTGGCAGGAGAATGGCAAGGCTAATCATGGCAACCTTGGAGCAAGGAGATGTTTCTTTTTGTCTTGTGTAAATTTAAGCTATATGTTTTACATTTCCTGCCTAAACTTGTTATTTTGCCATTTTCCATAAGGTCTGTTTGCTTAATAGAACCAAACTGGGCATCAGGGGAAACGTTGTTCCCTGGATAGAAATTTCTCCAACAGTGGGTAAGATCTTGGGCTTCAGACAAAGGCAGATCTAGTTTTAAATCTTGTCCTTTTGATTTACTTACAATTAAAAACTAATGCTCTCCGTCTTACTGTTTCCTCATATGTAAATATCAATAATAAAACTTACTCCCATAGTGTTATTTAGGGGTTAAGGAAGATCATTCATTCATGCAAACATTGATATGTATTTGGAATAGATGCATGTTGAAAATGTTAGAGTACCTACTATGTGCCAGGCCCTATTCTAAGCCCTGAGAATAGCTGTGAACAAGAAAGATATGAGCTCTAGCCTCATGAAGGATATAAATGCTAGTAGGGGAGATAGACTGTTAAACAAGTTAAACCAATAATGTTTCAGATAGTAATAGTGCTATGAAACAAAGTAATGGGAAATAGAATAGTAGGAATATACAGGGAAATAGACTAGTAGGAATTATACAGATCTATAAGATGATAGGGAAAATCCTCTGGGGAGCTATTTATATGGAGATATGAATAATATCAAAACAAAACATAATAGCCGTATGAAAATCCAGGGGTGAAGGGTGGGATATCCAAGCAGCAGCTTGGTATTTCAGAGAAATAGGCTGATGGAGCTGCAGTTTAGTGAGTAAAGGTGGTAATATACTGCAAGTTACAGTTAGAGAATTTGGTAGAGTTTGGATAGTGTAGGCTATTGGGAGGAGTAGGAATTTTGTTCTAGTTTCAGTGAGAAGCAGTTGGAAGGTTTTTAATCTCCAATAAAGGTCCCATTTGCATTTTAAAAACATTATTATGGCTTCTTTGTGGAGAACGGACAGTTAGGATGTGGTCATGAGTGGAATTAAGACCAATTTTGAAGCTAAAGCTATTGTTTTCATCCAGGTAAAAGATTTTGGTGATTTGGACTAGACAGAAATGATGAGAAATGGTGAGATAAGGGGTAAATTCTGGAAGGAAGAGCCAAAAAAGTCTTGATACTAGATTAGAGTCCAGGATGCCTTCTGAGTTTGAGGTCTAAGCAATGGAATGAGTGACGGTGCCATTATCTGAGGTGGACAAGACTAGGACAGTTACCTCTGTCACCACCAATACGGTGCCATTCCCACTTCCCACTCCTGTCAGCACAGAGTGAGAGATTTGTCTAATATCCCGAGGTTGTATGTTAGGACATGTAGGCTCTTATATTCTGAATGATGTATGTCATGATTAAACTGTCATAATTATTTCATGGTGAAAAAAGATGAATCTTAAATCTTTCTTGTGATCAGATAGTTTTTAAATGTTTACTTAACTGAAGTTCTATTTTCCCCACTGACCTCAGACTTTATAGCCCCTTTCACTTTCATGTTGGCCATTTTTCAAACACATTGGTGTTGTCATCTATTGCTAGGGGTTTTTTTTCCTTCTTAGAAGATAAGACTCTGGTTTCCTTGATAGTGTTTGATTGTCTTAATTTGTTCTGTCAAACACATGAGTGTTCCCCCAGTACATAGAACTGCAATTTATATTGATATTCTTTACATTTTTCCCCTCTGATATCATGGTATATGAAGTGGCATAATGAAACCTGTTAGTATTTCTTATTCTTTTTTTTTTTAAAACCTGTTAGTATTTCTTTCTGGTGTTTTTCGTAAATAAAAAAACATTACTGAAAGCAACACTTAGATTTCTGAGAATCATTCTGCTTTTACTTTGGAAGATGACTTTCATTCTCATATTTAATTATTTTCAGATTAGTTGTTAAAGTATTATATGTGTTTTCATGTTTAATAATTTCATCTGACCTCTGTAATTGTCTTAGGAAATCAAGAAGACTAAGAATGAGATTTTATAGTCTTTTGGTGCTTCGCTAAGTGCTTTTGATTCCAGTATTTCATTTGAGCAGAGCCAGTATCTTTAGTTTTTGTCAGTGAAGAAATTCATGCATAGAATCATTAAGTACCTGAACAGTCACTAGATTAATACTTGCTGAATTGTTAGAATTCTGAGGTTATTTACAAATGCTAAATGTTTCTTTCTTCTACCTCCTCCTCTTCTTTTCCTTTTTATTCTAGCTCAGACTAAAATATTGCCTTTTATGTTAATCAGGCAGCTTTGTATTTCATTAAATCTGTAAGTATGGCTTGTTAATCCTCATCACAGCCGGTCCCTACTGTATGCTGAGTACTGTTTAAAGCATTTACATAACTAATATTGATCTTCACAACAACCTGTATGACAAACTGCCTCATTTGGGGGATAGAAATTATCCATAGTTTACACATGTTTTTGTCTAAGTTTACTATGAAATTTTATAAGAAATGCAAGAAAAATTAATTGGTACAAGAAGGAAAAAAGTAATTTTAAGC